TAATGGTTTACTGATATTTTAATTAAATGATAGTTTATTTTGTGAATTTTATGTTTGTAGGAATTTGGTATACGTTTAAGTTGAAGTAAACGTGCATGGAAAACAATTTAAATATTTGACACTAAGTATTTGTAATGCTTGCGGTATGAATTCGTTGGTGACGTGTATAAATATAATAGATGATTTAGAAGTAAAAGTTTTTGGATATTTTATTTATTTTATATGTGGAAATGTTCATATTTGGAAAGGGTTATAAACTTTTTCGCGATAGGTAATTTCATATATGTTCTTTTTACCGGGTTTTAAAGATTCAGAAAATTGTCATGTATTTTCGTGAAATTTTTCTAATTTATGAGAAAAAAGCAGTGTACATGAATATAGTGAAGAGTGTGCGCAATGCCATTTTTTGTGTAATTCTGGGATGTTTTTTTTTAAGTAAAAGTTAAGTCGGGTGTTGGGTGTACATGGTTTATGTGTATGTGTTATTTTGAAAAACGCGTAAGGAGTATGGTATTGTGCACTTTTTCCCAATTTTGCAGTGAATATTTGTCATGATGAAGCAGTTTTTGTTAGATAAAATTTCTAGCATAAGTGTAATTCGGCTAGTAGATGTTGTGGAAGAAGTGTTCAGTAGATAAAAGAAAAGAAACATGTCTTTACTTCGTGAAGACAAAATGGCGGCGGGAAAAAAAAAAATAGAGGGTTGCTGTAGGAGAGTTGGTCGCCCAAAAAATCGCCAGGTTACCATAGTGTAAAGATCAACCGGAACTTGTTCTCTGAATGCACTGAGAAAGGAGAAAATTATGCAAATATTTTTTAATTTTCAGAATTTAAAATTCTGACACTAAAAAGCTTGGGAGCAAAATATATGAGAAATTATAGTAAATAGTTATTTAATTTAAATATATATATAAATATTATAGTTTGCAAATTAATTGGGACAATGCAATTATTCATGACTCATATAATTATTTATTAGAGATGGTTAATATACAGCTGACTCAGTGAAATCATAGACTGAATGTTGTGTTTGCTTTGCTGTGATTAGTCACTTCTTGTTGTAAGCTGGTCTAAAGCTCAACAGTTAGAAGGAAAAGGTTTGGCATGACCTGCACAGGTAGTTTGCAAGGTATTGTCTTAAGTCTGGTAAATTTCTAAGTCGATTTAGAGCAGTAATTTTATTTTCTGACATGAACCTTATGACAGATTTCAAGTTGTGGCATGGCTCCAAGTCATATTGAAATGTCCCTGCTAAGGTTTCCAAAAAATGGCACAATCATAGGTTTTTAAAATTTCTGTATACTTCGATGAATTCATCATTCTATCAACAAGAACCAGACTTCCAGTGCCATCTGCAGTGAGAAAGCCCCAGAATATTTGTTTTTGAGGCTGTTTTATGGTTTGTTGAATATGTTGAGGTCTTATTAATTCACCCTTGCTTTGTCTTACGTTAGATGTGTAATCAAGAACATGTAATTGAATCTCATACAAAAAATGACCTTTTCCAAGTCATTTATGGCTCAAGATTTGAATCTTTTGACCCACAACAATCATTTGACATGCCAAAAATTGTTTTAATTGCCTTTCTTTCCTTCTGACCTGCAGTGAGAAGTTTGTGCCACATATTTGGAGGATGAATATCTATACCAATAGACAATAGATCTCTTTTAAAGTCTTTGCTAATTTCTGTTGGATTAATTATGCTATTTTGGAGTAGGAATCAGTCAGATTTTGAGTCGCTTTCCTTTCCCTTCCTTTTCTGGAGAAAATGATCCATTTTCATTGCATCTGCTTAGACTTCAAGAAGCACTAAATTTTCCAACACCAGTCACAGTCTAAGGTATTTCTCCCACTTTCCTAGCATCCTTCGTGGTATAGTGGTTCTGCACACTGGGCCAATATTCCAGAGGTCAGTGTTTTGATTCTCGGCAAAGAGACCAACTTGTAGAGTCATTAGGATTTTTTGGAAGCCAGAGAGATGAAAAATATGCAACCGCCTTCGCCGGGAATCGAACCACGGACCTCTGGAATACCGGCCCAGCATGCAGAACCACTGCACCACAAAGGACGCTAGGAAAGTGGGAGAAATACTTTATAACAGAAGCAATATTTCTTACAGTCATGGATATGTGACTGGGATATTCTGCTCTCTTTTTAGGCATTATATCCATTTTTAGTATGCTAAGATGAACAAATGCAAAATTTTAACACATATTTAAAAAGTAAGTAAAAATAACTTCCTATTATTACAGAAATAAGTTTAAAAAAGGTGCCATAATCCTAATATAGTGTCTAAACCAGTTCTAAGTAGTCAAAAGCTGGCATCCACATGACATTAAGGCAGATAAACCTGCTTTGAGGGACCTGATGGTGCCAGCCGGCAACCAACTTAAAATTCTGTGAAAAAATCACTTTGTCCTAATTAATTTGCATGCTATAATATATAACTTAGTAATGAATTGTTTAATTCACTGTTAATTAAACAGTAATAATTGTTAAATCTGGATTCCTTCTTGAATACAGCACCTGTCACTTATTAAACTCAATGTTTTATAAAATCAGTTCCTTGTTATGTTAAAATTTTCAGAAACCAAAACAAATATATACTAACCAATGGGAAAAAAATCATCATTTCAGTTCTGTAATTCTTCTGTGTTTGACTAAACGTTTTCAATCCCCTTGTGCCTGTACCCATGCGACTTATGTTTTCAGAGTGTTTTGTCCATACTGGACCATAAAGCAACAAAATTTTCTAATCTTAATGTTAACAAAAATAATCCTCTAGAATTTTCCCTTTGTAATACATATATTATGTTCATAGAGAGCTCTCAAATAATTCATGAATACTGCCTAGCTATATCATGCATTAATAGTATTTGAATGGAAAGGGAATGATAACTCTAGGCTGAAGAAAACGCAAATAAAGCATATGTGATTCTTGTAGTTATGAAGTGACAGATCGACTAAACAAACTGAGAATAATCTTTCTGCTGGCTGGAATCATGAGTTCTGAAATTGAATAAATCACTGGAAAAAGCATTTTTTAAAATTTGTTGTGTGCTTAACTTGTAGCATGTGGAAAATGCCTAAGCAAAAAGATCTAAACCTGAAAGAAATTAATAAATTGTTAAAAGATCTTGATGTTCTTGGTAATTGCAGCTAGAAAAGTATTATATTTAAACTGGCATTTTCTCAAATATTCTGCAATTTACAATTGTAATTACAATTAGACAACTAATAAAAAAAATGCAAATACCTCAAGGAAGTGCCAAAAAAGATGGAAAATCAAAAAACCTTGAAGGTACTCTTCAAGAATTGTTTCAAACTATGAAACTAAAAAATGCTATTTTTAAGTTTCATAGCTTGAAACTAAAACTACAAAAGAACTGCAAACTGTAGCTTTTATTTCAGATATTAGTATGAAGATTCATTTTTAAAATTTTTAACTAGTATTTTATATCAGGTGAAAACAATGTTTGTAAAAACTAACTATAGTACAAAAGTCTTTAATCCGGAATGAACTATTATCCGGACCTCAAAGTTACAAACTTTCCGCGTAACTTTATACGTTTACGCATGCGCGTTTAATGTATAACGGACGGTATAAGCTAAGCTAAAATTATCTAATCATCTATTTCAGTTAATGTTGCTGATTGCGTTGTTCCTTACTCTTCTGATTGGATCCAGCTTATTATTTTTTGCAGACTGTTAGAGCAATTTTATAAAAGTAAGCTTGAACTTTCGACTATGTCAAAAAGAATTTCCGAGTCTGGAGCTACCAAAGGATCTACAAAGCGAAAGCATGTTTCGATGTCCATAAAACAAAAAGTGGAATTGCTGCAAAAAATGGATAAAGGCATATCCTTTGATTCTCTAACCATTCCGAAATATGTTTATCAATTTCACGCTGCTTTGCGAGGGGGACGACGTGGCGCGCAATGAACTGGAAGTTGATCTGTCAGCACTATCCTTATCTTCAGGGCAGATGTTTTTATTTTATTCAGCTTATAATTCCTTACTAAATGTAGTATTTCATCTCGATGTACTCCGTCTTTGATATGATTTAAATAAAATTCCTCGTCATTATAAATATCACGAATACACATCAAATAGTTTTCTGGTTGCAATTTTCTAATTTCGACTATGCGTAATGTATACTTGACGCATGCGCGCTTTGAAAGAAATGTTTAATAAAGTAAACAAATAAATATTTTTTTTTTTTGTAAATTTTGATAGCCTTTAGATCATAATTGCTCTTTATTTCATAAATTACGGTTTTATATTTTTAGTTTTATAGTTTCTGCATACCATCTTACCAGATTTAAACTGATGGTCTATAATTCGGAAAAGCCGATAATCCGGAATCGCCGAAATCCGGACAAGTCTGGAATAAAGACTTTCAACTCATACTTTCATCTGATATATGTCTGTCATTATTATAAAAAGTGTTAAAAGAACTGCGTAAACTAACAATGAGAGTGGTATGGAAAAAAGTGGTTATATGTTAACATCAATTGAATCTAGAAAAGCACTACAAATTCGAAGAAAACTCTTGACCTGAAATGTGCTGATCAGAAAAATTATCAGTTATTTTGTGAAACTGAGAATGCAACTGAAAAGTCTTGATGAACAATACAAACGAAACACTGATATAATAATTGTTTGTAAAAGTTACAAATTTCGTTAAGAATGTGATTATAAAAATATTTTTGTAAAAAGTTAAAAAATAAATTTAAAAATTGCATAATAGTTTCATTTTAGCATAATTTTTAACTAGTATTTTAGGATTGATATTGGATTTAGTTATTATTTATTACTTTAGTAGAGAAGCTTAAAAGTGATATCATAATTTGCAATACGTAAATCATATGTTAAACTTGCCGCTTACTCATGTGTGAGTAATGAAATGATTTTAATAAGAAAGGGGTACAATACATCTAAATATGTATTTGAAATGAATAAATCATGTTTCTAATTGTATTTATGTCATATCGTTCTAGGTTATAATTTACGGTCAAGAAAATCATTGAATATTCCTAAAAGGTTTTCAGAGGATGATGTTTAACAGACAGATATGTATTATATGTAATTAGAATGTAAATAGCACAATTGTATTTTTCATATACGTTTTATTGAGGCAGGAACTCTGAAGAATATCTTGTTTTGTGTGAATTTTCACTGACATGATTGCCAAGTTGTAGCATCATGTGTCAAATGTAGCAGAATTTATTAATGTTATAATAATGATATAAAAATATTTTTACACTGCTTTAATTCTGTAATGTGATTATATTTTGGTTTAATACTTTCTATTATCTTTTTCTCTTTCAATAACAGTCTGTGTCCATCAAGAGGAGAATAATTCATGAACTTAAATTGAACAATATTCATTTTGAGTGTATGGTATTTTTGACTTAATTTTTTTTTCCCCCTTTAACCACTTGCACTAAAAAGACGTGCCACGCACGTTGAGATGCTCAAATCGCGAGCGACGTGAACATCACAGCGATAGGCATTTATCGTAAAAATGAGAATAACATGGTGCACACGTCTCGTAACAATGAGATTGTTTATTTCTCGAGTAACAGCTCTGGATTGCAGACGCAGAGCAGCGTAAATGAGACACTTAATAACCGCTTGTTATATTGTAGTGCACGGAACCACAACCATGAAGTTTAGCCATAGCGCAAGTGGTTAATTCCTCATCTTTTTTTTTTTTTATTATTATTATTTTTATTATTATTATTGAAAGCATTAGGAACAAACTAACACTGAAATTGAAATAAATATTTATTTTTTAAGGTAATTTATACAATTTTAATTCAAAATCAAACATTTAATATACAGTAGACTCCCGATTATTCGTGTATGCTGCACAAAGTTTTTTTTTTACAAGCGTAAAGCAAAGAAAATAAAAATGTTCACAAAACTGAGAGAAACGTTAAATATGCATTAAACGTTAAACTTGCTTGTTTATGGCAAAAATATCCTAGGCCTTCTCGGAACCTTCCCCTCTGATGAGTAATTGATTTCTTACTCACCCTTGCAGTGCCCGCTCCGCCGCCCTCTCTTGTCTTAATCTTACTGACACGTCCACTTCCTCCCACTCGCCATTGTTAGTTTAAGCTTGATATGTTTGCGAACCGGTTGGAGTTAATTTCTTATCTTTTATTGAGTTCAGTGCTTGTGCTTTTTGGTTTTGTGTTTTTCGTTACCGATTTCGTCTGATTTAAAATGTCAGGAAAACGAAAGAAGGTTGTGTTGACGATTGCGCAAAAACTGGAATTAGTTTCCAAAGTAGCTACAAGGCAGCAGATGGAATTGGATTACAGAATCGCAGAAACAACGATGTATGACATTGTAAAGCAAAAAGACAAACTGGTGAACTTTGCATCCATGTCGAACAGTGCTTCCGCAATGAAAACGCGAAAAACTTTGAAGGGTTCTTACCTTTGATGAGCTAGACATGGCATTGACAGAGTGGTTAGCTCAAGTTCGAAAAGAGGGTACTCCTGTAAATGGTCCTATCATTGCAGTGAAGGCAAAAACCTTTTTTGAGTTGTTAGGCCTGAAAGGAAATTTTGATGCGTCTTCTGGCTGGTTGACTTGTTTTAAGCAGCGACATGGAATTCGAGAAATTGGACTTCATGGGGAGAATATATTAAGCGTTAGTTAAAAATTTCTTGCTGTTTATTTTAAGTTTTATTGTACATAAAACAATTTTTCAAAGTTTGAATGACTGTTTTCTTATTTGCTACACCCGTTTTTAGCTTTTTTCGGATTAACCGCGGCGGCCGCGCCACCCAATTCCACGGATAATCGGGTGTGTACTGTAGTTCATTACTGTAATATGAAAACATATTACAGTATTTCAAGTATTGTAAATGGAAGAGTAAATAAGCTGTGATGACCTTACGGATGAATAAGGCACCATAAGGAAAACGACACCAACATTTATTAAAAATTAACTTTCAAAGAATAATGGTAAAAAAAATTAACATTTAAAGAATAATGGCAAACTCGGAGCACTACCTCGCTCCTACAACATAATTAACCTACCACCTGCCTCCTCTGAGGCTAATATGCAACTGTTATCTCTCTCACTTGCTGGGCTCTGCCAGGCAGCTGATTGGCTCACCGCTGCCAGATACATGACACCCCCCCCCCCCCCGGTAAGATTGTGCTACGCCAAAGCGAAGCAGAATCTGAAAACTGAACCAGCAAATACAAACTTAAATTGTATATACTCCACATACCAAATTAATTCAAAATATATGAACATGTATACATGATGTAATAACATACTTTGAAATAAATGCAATAAACATTCATCTCACAACAGATGAACAGATGGCTTGATACAATACCGGAGTTCTGTAATAAAACATATATGCAATACTATTTCAAAACACACTATTATAATGCAATATTAAATGGAAACCAGTAATTTGATTTTCAAAACAGATGGAAAGTAGCTCTCGTACAATTCCGGAACAAAAGAAAGTAACTAATGCAAAGTTTTAAAACATATTAGTTCATACTTAGTTCACACCTATTTCATTCACCCACTAGTCTTGAAAGACCATCTGCATTTTTTAATTGTGCACCAGGGCAATGAGAAATATGAATATTATAGCGCTGAAGTGCCATTGCCCACCTCTGTAATTTGGCTGAATGCGGTGCCGACTTATACAAATATAATAATGGATTATGGTCTGTGATCAGCTCGATATATTCGATCCAAACATCCAAACACCCACACACTCGAACTTTTTTAATGACCACACAACGGCATAAGCCTCGCGTTCAATAGTTGACCAGTTCTGCTGAGTTTTCGAAAGTTTTTGACTGGCAAAGCTGATAGGATGCAAACTGCCTTTGCTGTCTCGTTGTGACAAGCAAGCACCAACACCATATGAACTAGCATCACACTGTATGGTGTAAGGTTTTTCTGGTTCTGGAGTGTACAGTTTTGGTGCTTCACACAGTCGACGACGTTTCAGTTCTTGAAATGCTGATTCCTCAACATCAGTCCATGGAATTCTCTCAGGAATTTTCTTTTTCGTAAGCTCCGTCAATGGGCGAGCTATTTCTGCATAATTCTTTATGTAATCACGATAATAGTTGAATAAGCCTAATGCACTCTTTAGAGCAGTCTTTGTTTTAGGACTTTTTATAATTTCAATGGCTTGTAATTTTTCAGGATCAGGTTGATGTCTTCCAGCTCCTATTATATGTCCTAAATACTTTATCTCCGAACGTGCAAAAACACATTTCTTCACGTTCACCGTAAACCTGAGATCACTTAATGTAGTTAGCACAGCATCTAAATGTTTGAGATGCGAATTCCAATCTGGTGAAAAGATAGCAATATCATCAATATATGCTTTGCAAAAATCACTATGTTTTCTTAAGGCATCATTCATCACTCGCTGAAAAGTAGAAGCTGCTGCATTTTTTAATCCAAAAGGCATCACTTTCCAACGATATTGGGAACGATGTGTCTTGAATGATGTTAAATCACGACTTTCTTCTTCTAAAGGTATTTCCCAGTAACCTTTCAAGACATCTAAACAGGTGATAACATTCGCGTGTCCAATTTTATTGATTAGATCAGTCACATTCTCCATTGGAAAATCAACAGGCTTGGTTACTTGATTCAACAACCTGAAATCAATACATAAACGCATACTTCCGTCTTTCTTGGCAACACATACGACTGGGTATGCTATTTCAGCTTCACTTGGCTCAATAAGACCCAAGCTCTCTCCAATTCCTCGATCTGTTTATCTACTTCAGGTTTCAAAGATTCTGGGATCTTATAGATATATGGCTTTTTTCTTTCAGCTCCAGGTAACAACCGAATTCTATGTTCACCAACGCTGGCTATTTGGATCTCCCCAGAAAATAACGCGATGTGCTTGAGTAAGAGCTCGTGTAATTCCTTTTGTTTGCTATCCTCTAAATGACTAATATCCACCTCGATGTTCCTTCTAGTTACTGCGCAATCTCCTTTATTTGGAGTGGTATGAATTTCCCCAAACTCAGAATCATCTTCAAATATCACTCCCACAGTTTGTGCTCGAACATAAAATTTTCTTATTTTGTTCACATGAACATGCCTCACACTCCCATCGGGTAATTTAACTTTGTAAGAATGAGGATTTACTCTTTCAACAATTTCACCTGGACCTGTCCACCTAGCATATAGCTTGTTGCTAGAGTCTGGTATAAGTAAATATACTAGATCACCATTTTTAAATTCTTTCAAACTTTTGCGACGGTTAAAATAATATGCATAAGCTTCTTTTTTTTTCCGCGGCAGATAAAGAAGCGAGCTCAGATGCTTTCTCTAAATTTATCTTTAATAATTCTTGTAGATAATCAACTGCTGAATTACTCAGATTAAGAGGTAATGGTATTTCACCGGACCATGATGATTTTAACACAGCTAAGGGACCTCTAGCTTCACGACCGTACATAAGCATAAATGGAGATACACCGGTAGTGCAATTTGGAACTTCACGATACGCAAAAAGTAAATAAGGTATGTGCTTGTCCCAATTAACAGGATCTGTGCGAATTACATGATGTAACATTTGTTTAAATACCCGATTCCATTTTTCCACTGAGCCGTTTGATGCTGGGTAACCAGGTGTCGAAAAACGAGGATGAGTTCCTAACCTTTTTTCGAATTCTTGAGTTAATTGTGAGGTAAAATTAGTGCCTTGATCACTACAAATTATTTCTGGAATACCGGTTCTCATAAAAATATCTAAAAGAGCCTCACAAGTAGCTTTAGCAGAAAGACTTTTTAAAGGTATGACTTCTGGCCATTTTGAATGATTATCTATCAAACACAAACAATATTTATGTTTCCTTCCTGAAGGAGGTGAAATTTCACCAATAATATCTATATTTACTGTATGAAAGGGATATGGGCGCGCGAACAATAGGAGTAATCGGAATTTTATCCGATTGTCTTTCCGGACTTTTTAATTGACATCTTTCGCATGTTCTACAATAATTTTCTACATCTTTGGATATGTTCGGCCAATAAAATGAAAGCTTAATTCTTTCTTTAGTTTTCCTCATACCTAAATGATTTCCGAATATGGAATCATGAGCTAATTGAAGGACTTTATTTCGATAATTCTCGGGCAAAACTAACTGTTGTATGTTTTCCCCACAAATTTTTTCTTTATGAAATAATAATTCGTCCTGTAAAAAGAAATTATTCTTCCCTACTTTCTGCGTCCTTAAAAGAATTTATT